GTTAAAACGAGAAAAGATGTCATTTTAACGAGAAAACATCTCGTTATTACGAACGAGAAAAGATGTCGTTATTACTAACTGAGTGAAAAAAAAAAATGTGTGTGGCAGCAATGCGTCACCGTATCAGAGGACTCAGACCATAGCACCAAATTAACACCTTATGACACCAAATTAACACCTTAACACCCCCCCCTTTTGGAGCTTGACAGTACCATCAACACTCTGTATGAAAAAGCTCATAGCTCATACATTATGGCTAACATTTCTTAAAAAAATACATAAATAAATAAAAAAAATCATAAAGGGGTGAGTAAATCATAGTAATAGAGACGGGAAGAGCAGTGAAAATGAATATCACTGAGGGACCAAGAGAGAACGCACACATGTACTGCCGCATTAAGTTCTGCCACGTTATTCTCTCTAGCCCGATCTGGCCGAGTGAAAGCATTTCCTCTCCTCTCCCATTCCACAGGGTCATTAATTGGAGAGATAATCTACTTGATCTCTACACAATGAGTGATTCATTGAGACTCTCATGTGTGGCTTTTATCACTGCCAAGAGCAGATTACATTGAAAAAAAGCAAATGTGAGATGATAATCTTTCTATACGAGGCTGCTAGTCAACACTGTCACCTAAGAACAGCAAAAAAAAAAAAAAAAGATTAAAATCATTTGCGCTGACTTCATCTGCTATTGAGCAAGAGCAAAATGCTAGAAAACTGAATGATCTCATCCTGTATAAGTGGCCTCATGCTCTACACCACATTGCCCTTCACAACAAGGTAGTCCTACTGTCCTTCATCCAAACACAATCACACCAAAAATATGACACCAGTCAAAAAGGACAGCCATGATACACACAACAAAACAGGCCTTACAATTCCCATAGGATAACAAGCCTTGAAACATAGATCTGACTCCATTAGATGTGTTAGTCTTCCATATTACTTCAATCAAATGATTGAACGTCAAAAAAATATTATAAGTGTCAAGTTGTCGAGTCGACATGCCAAGTTAAATTTAACAGTGAACTTGGTCCATTGCTCTCCGGGCAATACAATGACTATTAATTCACAATGATTTTGCTGGTGATACACAAAGTTTAATCCACTTGTATTTGGTCATTCAGTTTCCTAAAGAGTGCTTTATTAGGCTATTTTCACAATCCCTCCCCAACATGTAACTTGCGAGCAAGAGAGCAAATTTTAATAGTATTTCAGATTTAATGTTAAGAGTTTATAAACCGTTTAAGCTGTATGTTTATGATTAAATTGCTCGCGTCACTACAAAAGAATGTCCATGTTGTGCATTTTACTTCTTGCATTAACCATTATGAATCGACCTGGGGGGGAAATGGCTGCGTTTGTTTAAGTGATGGTGCTCTAATAGAAAAGAACCTACCATTGGAGAGCAAACACAAACTTCAAAATATAAACTGAATCTCGCCAAAAGACTGAAAACTATACCACTAATTTAGATATAGCGCCCAGGTATTGCAGGTATACTGAGGACGATCTAGCTGTCTCTGACAGTAAGTGCTGACCAACAATTTATAAGACCATCAAGTGAAATACAAGTGTGATATCCATCCTAATGAGGCTCTGAAGATTTGGGACGACTACCTTTTACTTTATGTCTGAAACATTTAGATCTGAACAGAACAGTCTCTTTCTGATCTGCAATCTGACATTGTTATATAGTAAAGCCAGACAAATAGCTTTAAGTAAGATTATGACTAACACCTGAGAGAAACAAGCAGTGCCAAAATGATGTGTGCGCACGGTGACAAAACTGTCTGTTTCATTAAGGAGTGTCAGATTACAGAGCACTAGGGCTGCACGATAAATCGCATGCGATTGCGCAAAATATGATCGTTGTTTTGCACAGCTTGTCAGTGAACAACGGCTCTGTGTAGTTAATGCTGCTCAATGTGAAAGCCCGCACGTGATGGAGATTTACCGCTGATTAAAGAACCGGCTTTCTGACAAGATGCGTGTTAAATATCGCATGCGATTTATCGTGCAGCCCTACAGAGCACTCTGTCATCCCTTGGACATCTGTTAGACAAGCTCTGTCAAGCACAGGAAACTTCACTTATGAACAACTCAAACACAGTACAGTATAAACATGCATGCCTGGTTCTTCTGAACAGCTCAAGACAAATTCAAACATATGTCACAGTATTAGCACTATGTTTAACAGTATGTAAGCATTCGTATTTAGGTTACATTCTTGGCCTTGCTGTGAGAAGACTGTGAAAAACGGACTAGATCGAAGCTACAGTTTATGAGTCTTCAAAAAACTCGGAAAGACTATCAATAAAGTGAGAAAATATTTTCAAGTATGTTAAACAGCTGATGTCTACCAAAAGATACTGCTATATCTGCAACAAATAGACACAACCTAAGAGTTTAAACAGGCACACTCCATTGATCTCTTTTGGGCTTAATAGAGTTACAGCTAGAAGCAAACATGTCACAAATGATAACCATTAAAAAAAAAAGTGCCTGCAGCAAGCTCAATATAGAGTTGCAAAATGCCTCTTTTTTTTTTTTGGATTTCCAGCTAAATACTTGTGTACCCCTTAAATGATGACAATTCACATTTAGCAGATATACAAATTTAAAACATCCAAACGTTTTCTTACTACATGGACCAAAAATAATGTTGACTCACCCAGCATTCATTTTTTTGTCCAATCTAATATTCTTTAATACGACAAAGTCCCCCATTAATACCACCTACTTCTCAACAGCAAGCCAAAAAACAATATATCATGTTTGCGGATGTGATGCAAACAAAAGGCTGTTGGCTCCTGCCCTAACTTCCTGTTTCAAAAGGAAATGACAACAGTAGAAAAATACTGCACTCTAAAGTGATTTCATGGGGTCTTTAAAGGCAGGCTTTAGAGAGCAAAGCATTTACATTTCTGTCTGTAATACAACAATAACAGTCTAGCAGTCTGCAGTTTTGTGTTACATACAGGAAACACTTCTAGCCATGCTGTAGAAGCCTATAGGCCTTATTCTGTTACCCGCCTGCTGTGATATTTAATGCACACTACCATTTATGTTTATAGCAGTAGATTAAGCCATACCGCTGATCACCCACAGCCTGCATGTGTAATTTTTAATGAAGCTGTTCAAACAGTAATTACAAAAGCAAATGAATTGGAAACAGTAAATAGACAATGCACTGGGGGGGGGGAAAAGATACTGAAACTTACCCATCTTCTTCTCCATCCACAGGTAAGCTCTTCAGCAGGCTGGCCGAGGCAGTTAAGGCATTGACTCCACTGCTTCCCTCTGGACCACGGGAGGTGCCGGCCTGGGAGGCAACTTCACCACCGGCGGGCTTGGTTTGTGTGAGCAGAGTTGGGTGCTGTAACAGGAGCTGGGCATCCTCCTGCGGTGTGGGCATCGCAGAGGGCAGGGTGCTCACCGCATGCCCGGGCTCCTTCGAGCCGTTCTGGATCAAACTGGACTGAGGATCACTCTGAAGATTAGGAGGCACATTTGATGAGGTCACAAACTGGGTGCCGCGGCCTTGACTGCCGAGCTGTGACTGCTGCTCCATGGAGGGTTGCTGTATGAGACTAGCGCCGGTGGACTGCACCAGCTGCGACACGACCTGGACCATCTGCGGGGCGGGTGTCTGTTGTGGCGGCAGGAGCCCTTGTGGAGGTGGTTGAGCAGCAGGGGGTTGCACAGTGCCCACGGGCTGCTGCGAAGCTGCAATCAGCTGACCGTTCCCCACCACTGGAGGGATGGAGGCAGAAAGGTGGGGAAGTGTTTGTGTTGACCCAGGTGGCACAGTGTTCACGATCTGCTTCGACTGAGGGAAGTCATGTGGCAGGCTGCCTCCCTGGCTTAAGGGGTTAACATGTGCCAATGCTACCTGGGTCGGTGCAGCCGGCTGCTGTGCGGGCGGGTAGCCCATCTGCTGCTGGGTCACCACAGGCAGGGCTTGCGCAGTGGGGGACTGTGCTGCCTGGGCGTATGTCAGTTTGGGCATATGAGGGGGCACGGCTGCAGTTGAATGCCTGATTGTGGTCTGCAGTCCTCCCATAGTTGCCGGCGGCTGCTGCGGCTGAATGCTCGCTGGCATCGGAGCAACTGCACTAGTCTTAAGATGCGCATGAGCTAAGTCTTGGGGTTGCATCTGAGACATAGACACGTTATGAGAAGATGAGTAGTCGTGCTTCTGAGCAGCAGGCTGCTGGAAGGTCTGCTTCACAGCTGAGGGGCCGCCCGTCTCTCCACTCCCCAGACTTTCAGTATAATGGCTAGCCGTGCTGCTGACAGAGCTCCCGCTGACACTCTCTCTGTCCAGGCACACCACACTCTCAGGCACAAACTGGCGGATGCTTTCCACTGTTCGGGTGCTGGGGGCGTTTTCAGAGGACGCTGTGCCCGGGGCCTCTTTGTCGTAATACTCGGTGCATGTCCACCTACCCTTCTTAAAAGGCTCAGAGGTAGAGTCCAATTTGACCACTCTGAAACGTGAGCTGGTGGAGGCAGGAGTAGGCACTTGGGACTGCTGAGGCTGAGCGTTCATCGCCGGGACAGAGGGAGCAGGCATTGTGTGCTGGCCCATGACAGCTGGGCCCACCTGCCCTCCACCTGTTGAAGCAACACCACCAGAAACAGTAGTAGCAGCGGTGATGCCCATGCCAATTATTCCGCTGGGAATGTGTGTCAAGTTTACTGTTTGGTTACTAATACTATTCAAAGCAGGGGAGTAGTTTACATTGCTACTATTGGTACTCTTGCCACCCACAGCAGGCACACTGGCAGAATTTAACATACAAACATTATTTGTTATAGGATTACCAGTACTAATTGTGGCACCTGAAGTCACAGAGATCATACCAGTTCCTGAGGCGACAGTGGCCAACGGCTGACCGATGACTGCAGTTGAGCCAACAGAGGCGTTCTCAATCAATCCTACCACATTTGAAGGCACTTTCTGGCCTGTGCTAGCTAAAGCTCCAGAACCTGAGGTCACCGCAGATGTGACTGCGGCACTCAAAGGTATACCAATCTGAGTCCCACCAGCAGGTTGGGCTTTTCCAGGGGAAGCAGGATTATGGTGATGATGGTGCACAGTCCCATTAACCATAGTGCCATGCAGGTGTGCTTGGGTGAGAATGGGTGGCTGGTTGGGCGACACAGCCCCCGGGGTCTCCGCCTCATGGAAGTTATTCAGCGTCTCCTCCGAGGAGCTCCTTTCCGGTCCCCCTGCATTGTTGGCCCGCGAAAGTGACACATCCATGATCTCAGAGGACGACAGGTCTTCGGTGTGGGACTCGTCCAAGTCGTCACAGCTCTCAGTGTCCTCAGTAATGCTGTTGTTGGTGCTGACAGATGTCTGAGCGGGAGTAACACTGGTGATCTGAAAGCCACTCTTCTTTTTCATCTGAGCCACTGTGGTGGGCATAGTTTGGGGTAACAGGGTGGTCTGCATGGGGATATTCAGGCTCTGAGGAGGGTTCTGGGACCCGAGAGAGGATGCAGCCAGCGTTTGAGACTGAATCAGCACCGGAGATGAATAATCATCCCCCAGCATCAAGTTGTTGCTATTAAGACTGGTGCTTCCAGAAGTTGTCAATGTGGAGGAACCACCCACCGTGCTGCTGCTGCTCTCCCGTTTGGGTAAACTCATGGGGTACACCATTTTTCGGGCGCTGCCTGACTCCCCGGATCGGTCGTGGTGATTCATTTCTAGAGGATAGTCTCCAACAAAGTTATAAACACAGCTCAAGAGAACAAGCTCTTTTTGAGAAGCAACTTGAAGCCGCTCTAGTAATTTCCACATAAAACCAACACTTTCCAATAACTGCCAGGATAATTCCACTTGAGGTGTATTTAAATGTCCACCATGAGGAGCAGGCTAATGCCAATGCTAGTTAACAGTCGCTAGCGAGCTAGCTGACACGGATTCGCTTCAGCTGTTGTTTTCAAGCGTATATCCTCGCAAAACCATTCAGCACACCATATCGTTGAAGTTTAAACGTAAAGGAGTCGACACAGACGGCCGGGATGATCGATATCCACCCTTACAACGACCAGAGTCTCTCCCCATCACAATTCAAACTGCCAGGCGCATTTTCAATTGTTGTATTGCAGTCACCAGGGCACGAAATCACACGAAACAAAGTGCTTCAGCCGGCGTCAGATGACAGAGAGAAACCGAGCGACTCAGCGCTGTCCTGCTTTATTCCATCCCGTGCTTTCTTTTGTTTTAGTCCTGTGTTAGTCTCTCTCCCACTCTGCTCCTATTCACCAGCTGCCTCCTTGTAATGTAGCCTGTGCTAGTGCTATCAGCCTGTGACGAGTCCCCGAAAGGGGGAGGAGAGCCCGATAACATGGCGACCGCGCATGGCAGTTCACCTCCACAGCGGCCAGACATAAAGCCGAGAGAGTCTGGCGACGATGGGCGGAGGGCGGAGGGATGGGGGGTTTCCTAGAGACCGCTGGCGAAGAGTTCCGAAAAAAACACGAATGCAACCGAGTACAGCCAACTGTGTTGGTGAGGGATGTTTCTTATTATAGCCCTCGGTAACTGTGGCAGCAAACACTCAGAATAACATCTTTTGTCCGCTGTGGTTATCATTATTTGTCATTGAAGGAGGGAAGAGAAAGAAAGGGCACGGATTTCTAGGTCCCATTGGCTAACAAATCGGTTCATGAGAAAATTAAAAAAAATGTGTTTGGACATGAGATTTTATTGATGCCGAATTCGAAAATAAACTATTTAAACCTGTGAAAGATTTCGCAAATACCGGTATTTTAGGTTAGTTGCTATTGTGTTTTCCTCTATACAGGGCAGCTACATCAACAAGATGTAAACGGACCCTGTGACAACAATGTTGTCAACATAGTCCACAGATTTGTTCTGATTTTACAAAACAGCTAGTCTGAAAGAGGAGCCAGATATTTCCACAGACAGAAAAGAACAACCAAGCACATCTAAACTGACACACACACA